CTTTGCTCAAAGAATTAGAAAGAACAAGAGGAATGTTGCTTACATTCCCTCACATTTCAGCAGATATACACACACACACACACACACTCTTGCAATTTGAACAAACAACACGTGCACACACATGCACCACTCTAACACACCCATAAGAATTTATCCTCTACAATCAATACCACCAAATGCCCAACTTAGATTTCTCAATACACCCACGCAGATTGCTCAGCACACACTCACTCAAGGATTTTAATCCTCTACACTTAACATTACAAAATGCCTTAGCACATCATACACTTAATCACATCTTAGATCATGAATAGGATTAGATTAGGCGTAAATCATGCATCATCTTAATTAAACACAAGTAACCTTAATTAATCAAGGTTAGCAAATGACTCAATTAACCTAAAATAGTTTCAATTAAGGCTCAATTTAATCACATGCGATTTTACTAAATTGAATCAATTTTTAACAAAACTTCTCATATGATTCCAAATATTCTAATTAGTCAATCCATGTACTCAAATTCGGTTCTAAAAACATTTAGGCTATCAATTTCAAATTTAAAACATAAATCATGACAGATAACTTTCAAATCAGACAGATATGCACAAATTAACCACAAAGCACATATCACAATTGATAATAACACATAATTTCATTCTAAACACTTAGTTAGCATTCTTAACTACGGATTAGTAGTTAATTACAGATCAAGATTGTTACAGAAATAGTAGAATTGGATAATTTAAATAATAGCACCTCGTTATAAATAATAATAGAACAAAATAATACATTAAAAAAAAAAAAAAACCTTAGTGAAAAAGTTAAAAAGTATAAACGAAATCCAACATATAATATTAGATAAAGGCAAACATGTAGTCGTTATAGAAGATAGTAAGTAATAGATAATTACTCATATCCTTATAAAGAAAATTCACCAAAAACAATGACGCCCACTTTTTCAAAAAAGAATAAAAATTTAGGAGTTTTTATTAAAATAAAACTTTATCTAAATAGGGTCTTTTACTTATTTATAATACTTAATAGACTTATATTTTATTTTTTTAATCCTTTCAAAGACTAAATAGGTTTAAATTAAATACTTTAGGGACTTAATATATTCAATTGATAACGTACGAACTAAATAAATTTTGATTTACATACTTGAGGGACTTAATACACTCAATCGACAATTCAATGACTAAATAAATAATTTGACTATAGTTTAGGGTTAGAAAGTGTAATAAACCCTACAAATTACTATTTTTTTACTTCCTTTAGAAGCTAGTTATTTTAGTTCCTTTTATTTTCATTTTTAATTGGAGTAACTGATTCTCATGTAGGATTAACTGGAAAGCTTTTTAGAATTATGTGAAATTTTTATTTTAGATTCGTATATATCAATTAAATAATCTTAAAATTTAAAATGTAATAATTTTTTTAAAAAATATAAGTACATTTTTTTAAATTTTTTTGACAAAATTCTGTTTACTTCGCTATTAGTAAATTCTTTTAAAATTAACTCCATTTTTTTATTTTTAAAATCAGATGTAAAAAGTAAAAAATTTGGCCTCAATCAAAAAATATTTTTAAAAACAAAGAGGAAGATAAAAATAAATAACCTTTTAGTTGAGGGATCTGAGTTTTTTATATGTGAATAAAATGGGGCTGGACATTTGACAATTGACAATCCAGTGTGTGCCACCTAATAACATTAGCTTCCAAAACCAGGCTGGCTGCTTTTTTTGATTTACAATTAGTCAATGTTAATCATTGTCCTCCTAAACATTTTGAAATTCCCATATGCCATTTGTATTATGATTTTGCACATTCAACTTCTTGAAATTCTGACTTGAGTTCAGTATTTTTTGAGTTCAGTATTATACTTTTAAAATATTTTGCCAAGTTTTAAAATTAGAAAAAATAATTATAACTCCTTAAATATAAGTTTATGAAAGAGTTTTCAAAGGTGAGTTATCAGTCTTTAAAATTTTAAAGACTATGTTCTATGAATTACTGTTGTTATTAATTTCAAGAGTTATAAGTGATTTTGATTTGTACATAACTTGAGATTGAATTTATGTAAAACCCATAAATTGTATAGTTGATCTTGTCTATTTATTGAGTCTGATTCGGATGAAAAGTATGACTGTCTATCTTTTTCCTTCATGCATTTATAAAAAATATTAACTAATTTATTTCACCTCACTTTCCCGTATGTTCTGACTTTTCACGTTCATTTCCCAACCACATATCTTATTTTTGCCTCTGGTATAGACCATCACCACTTGCGAATTTGTGTTCCTCGATTGCTCCTGTTCAAATCTTTCGAAAATGGTGCAATGTTGTTGCCATAGTGATGCCTACAAATCCAACAAGCAAAGGCCGAAGGCCTTTCGGCATAATGGCATAGGAGCAAAACATAAGGACTTGTAAAGACAGATTTAAGGTTCAATTCTAATAATTAATCATTGACTTTCGCAAATAAATAAATTAATTAATCAATCAATCCACCGTGAAAAGGATTATGAAATGGTTATAAATAAGCGAGATGACATTTCCGCCTCACTCATTATTCCTCCCTCCTCGTAACTCTATTCCACTTTATCCCTCAAAGTTCTTTTGGTCAGATCTCATGGTCATAGCTACACACAAGATTGTGAAATATGAAAGTGTCATTTGGTAACACTTACGTTTTCAGTTTTTTATTTATATTTATAAAAATTTTAAAAATTCAAATTAAAACTTGTTTGATAAATTTTTTATTTATAAATCAGTGGTCTTAGTTTATAAATTTAGCCAAAAAATGTAAACTCAAAAAATGTATTTCCATTTTGAGTTTTCAGTTTTTTTTTTTTTTACCACCCAACACTAGCCACCACCTGCCACCATTTTCCACCACCGTCTTCCACCACCACCACCCACCAACCTGCCATCACCACCCGCCACTCGCCACCCACCACCCACCATGCCACCCACCCGCACTACCACACCACCCGCCACTATCATCCACACCTACCACTTACCCGCACCACCACTCACCACCCACCTGCCACCACATCCACCACCGCACCCACTAGTCACCTGCACCCGCCACCCACCTGCCACCACCACCCACCGCCGCCGCCGCCACCACCACCACCCACTCACCACCACCCACCACCCGCCACCACCACCTCCCACCCACCACCACCGTCACCCACCTACCACCATCAGCTACCCACCACCCACCTTCACCACTTTCCACCACCATCTTCCGCCGCCACTTGCCACCACTTGCCATTTCTCACTCTTTTTTATATTTTTAAAATTTTTTAAACATTTTGTCAATTACCAAACGCGTTTGTAATTTATGTTTTTCTAAAAATAAACAAAAAATAAACAAAAATCAGTTTATAATTTTTTTGTAAATATAAACTGAAAACGTAAATGTCACCAAACAAACCCTGAGAGTTTCTGTTTCTTTATGATGTTCAATGATAAGACTATGCATGCCTAGTGTTTGAAGGTAATAACGAACTTTTTCAATAATGGAAAAAGACTAAGACCCCACCACCCCCATTATTTTTTGATTGGTCCAAATTTTTTTTTTTTTTTTTTTTTTTTTTGCGTTGGTCTCACAACCCCCCACGTGGAGGTGGGGTGCTGGGGTCACCCCCCACTGGGAGTCCCCAGCACTGCCGTTCAATAATATATCTACTGTACATTATATAAGTAGGTGTGGCATGTACTAAAAAAAAGTAATTTTTTTAACATACATACACTTATTTAGGTCAAATCAATTAACATTTATCAACATCTTCTCTCTACTTTTCTACTCATTTTCTTTACTTTTCTACATATTTTTTTTTATAAAAAATTAAAAAATATATTTATTTAGAATATTCTAAACCACCCCTAAATGTTGATTGTGAAAAGCTCCTAATCCTTTTTTTTATTACTAATGTTTCCAATACATATTTTTCTATTCTAAACTCTATGTTAATTATTATGCTCTTGTTAACAAGTACTCCTAGAACAAAATAAAACACAAAAAACTTAAAGAGCATCAGACATTTTTTACTAAATTTAATGAATTTTTACTAAAGTCTATACACTCTATAATAATTTTACATATTTTCAAAATGCTTTATACTCACTTTCTAATTCGTATACCAATTAGTGCATATAGTATTATTCATTAAACAATGAATCGAGGGCACTTGTTCAGTTTGAAAAGAAATAAATTACACTGATCTCCCTTTAAATTTGAAACAAAAGTACAATTTACCTCACTTTTGACATAAAATTACATTGATCTCCCTTTTCGCATGGCTAAAGCGATTCAAACTAACACAAATGAGGAGTAGACATTGAAATAAATGAAGATAACATAAATTTTAGATGAAAATATATGAGAATATCATTTTTTTTTGTTCATACTACTAACAAATTACTAATAAAAAATAACCAAATTATTATGTGAATTAAAATTTTAAAAAAAAAAATCAATGTATTTATGTCAAAAGTGTGAATGTTAAAGTCCTCGGAAAAAGTGAGTATAATTTACCAAAAAACTAAAGAAAAAATAATTCACGTCATCTTTGTGAAAAGTTTCGCTACATCCCCTAATTGAGACTTCCTAATTCCACATTGAATGACCTAACTAAGATCTATGTGAAGCAATCTCACACTATACCATTAACTATAGATGTGAAAAGATTATAATACCCTCAAATCATATAGTTTTTTTTTTCTTTCTTTCTTTCTTTTTATCTTTTTTTGTTTTTTGTTTTTGGTGAAATGGGAGCTTTAATGGTCTTGCTAACTTATCTCAACCAAAGTCATCGAGGCATGGCCGCTTTGGAATGCAATAAAAGCATTATCAAGAAAATGATTTGGCTCTTCATGCTCAGTCGATGCGAAAGTTACAGGTTCAGCTATAAAATGTATAAGCATTTCTAGTGTTTTTACTTTTTAATATTTTTTTTTAGGCATTGTAAAAAAGTCTATATATATATATATATATCAATATCAAACTTCTCCATAGAATTTGGAAGGGCAAGCAAACACAATACAAACACCACCATCAAAACCATAATTACAAAGGCATATTCCAACAACACAGCAGAAAAGCATAAATTTTCCCTTCAATCCCGGCATCCAAGCAAAAAATAACAAAAAAAATAAAAATGCTTGTGGCATGAATACAGCAGGCCCAACACCAAAGTTTGAACTGTCCAACTCTAGCGCAGGCTATACAACACACAAAAATTGCCACATCATCCACGCGAAGAATATCAATATAAATCAGAGTGGAGGTTGAATGAAGAAGAAGAGTACGAATCACCCAGCTAGAAAGAACTCCAGCTTTCAGAACCTTTCTTCGGAGTTTGACTCTCCAATGATGAGACCTTAAACGGACCGCTAGACCCAAAAGGGTCAGCATCGTCAAAAGATGAGAACCCTCCATGCCTGTGGTCAAACCCTCTACTGCTGCTCATGGAGTCAAACCTTGTATGAGTCCCTTGACTGTGGTCAAGGCCTCTCGTGCTGTTTATGGAATCGAACCTTGAGAAAGTCCCCTGGTTATTGTGGTCGAAGCTTCTGGTGCTGTTTATGGAGTCGAACCTTGAAAGGGTCTCCTTTCGAGGTGAGAATGACTGGTCATGCATGCTGAAAGAATCGAACCTCGACAGGTTGTCGAAGTATTGGTCGGTTGATCCGCCACCATACCTCGGGGAGTTACCAGCCCTGGAAAGTGGAGAGCCGGGTACAGAATCATCGAAGGCAAATGGGCTTTTCTTCCGGAACATGCTGTCTGATTGTGGGGAATCAGTTCTTGGACTAGCCCCCATGTCGCTGGATCCGAAGAAATACTTCTCTCCATGCTTCTCGTGATCTGAGTCCTGCAAGTTCAGATAGGTTTATGAGGCAAAAATCAATATCTAGAAGACAACCAAGATCCTGACAGCCACTAGGTGAGTTTTGATACTGTAAATGTAGGTAACAAACCGATCATCATAGAAAACATACAATCATTTGCAGAACATTGAAATTTGAAATGTTAGTCCATAAATTAGAAGCAAACATAATCATATTAATAACGAGCATGATAGTGATGATGATGGTTTCAGATCTAATGCTTATGCGGTGATTCAAAAAGGTTTATATACAAAGTCATTTGGTCTGTGTAGTGACCAAGCCAGAATTTTGACTCAAAGGGGGAATAATAAGGTAAAATATTATGCCGACGATAGTGTCTCCCAGCCCAATGTGCCTAATCTATAACGTATTTAACCTCTGATCCTAACCACAACACAACCTTGTACAGTGATGGTCATCCCCACCCCCAACCTTGTACAACTTGAGAGGAGACACTGAGGAAAACAAAGATTTTATTGAGAAATTTCATCAAATAATAAGTAGCAGTCTCTGTTCTTATGCACATATTTATCATACAAAAAAAAATTTACCAATAACAACAAATTTGCAAGGAGAAATCAAATTAATGTGTCACACAATGAAAATGTGAAAGAGAGTGATGGAACGTCGGTTGCGAGATATAACAGAGGTGTCAGAAAATATTTGAGTTTATGCCTGGTAGGTCAACAATGGAAGCGATCTATCTTTTGAGGAGAGTAATAAAAAAGTATAGAGAAAAGAAAAGAGGCATTCATATGGTTTTTATTGATCTTGAGAAAACATATGATAGTGCCTCGAGATATAATCTAGTGGGTGTTAGAGAGGAAAGGAGTAACAAAAAGTTACATTGATGCGATTTGGAATATGTGTGAAGGTGTGGTGACCATTATTGGATCGCTTGCTAGAGAGACGAGTAAATTTCCAATTACTGTAGGGTTACACCAAGGATCAACCTTAAGTCTTTACCTTTTTGCTTTAGTTATGGATGAGTTGACCCGCAATATTCAGAATGATATGTCATGATGTATGCTTTTTGCAGATGATATCGTGTTAATGGATAAGACTATAGAGGGCGTTAACACTAAATTAGAGATTTGGAGAAAAACACTTGAATGTAAAGGATTTAGGATAAACAAAACTAAGACAGAGTATATGGGTCATGTTTGATTGACAGGATTAGAGCATGGGATTGAGATTATTAATCCGTAGGCCCAATAATTCTGTATTTGTTTTGAAATTTTGTTTCAGGATTATTAATCCAACAAATTTGTAGGATTATTAGTAATGAGATAGGGGTGAGATTATATATCCTGAACTGGGAAATAAAATAAAAAGACTCTATTACTTACTAATCCAATGCAAATCAAGCAATGGACAAATGGATAATTTATCCTACTAATCCAATTGGACAGTGAATAATGAGATTATTAATACCTTCACTGTTAGTCTTGTGAATCAAACATGGCCATGGAGTGTAATTTTAGTAACAATCACAATGAAAGTAGAGAAGTGAATATTGAAAACCAAGAACTACTTAAGAGTGAACATTTTCACTATTTAGGATCGATTATCTTAACGACTACGAAGATTGGAGCGGATGTGGTCCACAGAATTAAGACGGGGTGACTTAAGTGGAGGAGTGCGTCTGGAGTATTGTGCAATAAACGAATACCCATTAAACTAAAAGGGAAGTTCTATAGAACGGTTATTAGACCAGCGATGTTGTATGAGACGAAATGTTGGGCAACTAAGAAACAACGTGTAGATAAAATGAGTGTTGTTGAGATGAGGATGCTAAAGTGAATGTGTGGCAAGACTAGAAAAGACAGAGTTAGGAATGGGTATATTCGAGAATGGGTAGAAGTAGTACCGATAGAACATAAGTTGAGATAGAATAGATTGATATAATTTGGTTATATACAACGGAGATCAACAGAAGCAATAATGAAGAGATATAATACAGTGACAGTAGATAGTAGTATTAGGGGAAGGGGTAAACCTAGATTGACGTGGACTAGTGTAGTAAATAGAAATATGAATCTCCTTAATTTGATTAACGAAATGACCATGATAGAATTGAGTGGAGAAGAAGAATTCATGCAGCCGACCTTAATTGATGGAACTTAAGGCTTGGTTTGGTTTGATTTAGTTTGGTTTGGTTAACAAATTTGCAAGTATTACCCCAAAAAAGAAGGAAATAAACATTTACATGTAGACTTTATAACATAATAAAAGAGACTTCGGCCTTGTTTGGTAGAGCTGTGGGAAAGTACTTATAACTTATGCCTTAACAGCTTATAGCTTCTAACTATGAACATAAGCTGATTTCTGACTTATAAATTAAGCTTCTCCTACCCCACTCAAAGAATAAGCTGATTTCTGACTTACAAAAAGCTATAAGCTGCATTGTTAAGCTAAACCAAACACATCAAAATAGCTTAAATTAAGCTGAAAGCTGTACCAAACAAGGCCTTCGTCTTAAATAAACATTTGAAGGTACAAGACAACAGTGCAAGAATGAAGCAGTTGCAAATTGCTATTAAGCTCCTAGCAAAAGTGAAACGAGGACAGTATATATTAAAATTTAGAGTCAAATATAGAGAAACTATTTTATACATATGCTGCTTCTTTCTTTTTTTCTATTTTAAGTTAAGGAGGGGCATGTGACCATCTTGGGCCCATACTCCCTCCCCCACTAGGTCTGATGGTTAACAAAGAGAACATGTTATTGGTATTAGGATAGAAAGATCACCACCCTCTCTGCGTTGCCAGATTGGCAAGTCATAGAGAGACAATAGACAACCACTCCACAAATTATACCAATGAGACTATACCTCCAAAATTATATCACATATTCAGACTATCTACCCCAGGTCTTAAAACATAGGAATCCTTATCTTCTATAACCTTCCACCATTTAGAACAAGGCAACCTTCGTTTACCCCATTATAACATGTGCTTGCTAATAGACACATCGCCAAATGCCTTCAATACGAGTGTCACGGGACTTCCCTATTAAGTGTTTTATAGACCAGCCAAAATGAGCCAAATATTTCACATGCTGATTACCGAGTTTCTCAAGTATAATGAGGGACAAAAATGTGCATCTAGAAGAGCCAAACTTACCTTGGGATTACTAGGGTTGAAACCCCACACAGAATCTACATCATCATTATTGTCAAAGGTACCCCAAGATGGCTCATCAAAACTTCTGTTCACAAAGGATAAGACTTAAAACCACCAAAATTATGTAAGGAACGTACAGGAACAACAGACAGGTATGAGAAGTGATGAGAAAAAAAATATGAATCAACCCCCATACCTATGGGTTTCCGCATCTGCTTCGGGGCTCTTTTTGAAATGGTTATCTGAATATTCTCGAGATGGACTTTCGAATGCTGTATGTCTTGCTGGACTGCTAGATGGACTTTTTCCTGATTCGTCTTCACTATGAGTGTATGCTGATTCACTTTCGCAGGCACGTTCACCTTTACTGAAAAGTTTATCTGACATGTCGTCATCAGCATGTGACATCAAATCAGGGGACAAACTACCATTTGGAGAATAATTTTCTTTCTCAGCAGAAGTGGATTTGGTTTTGGGCGGCATGGCAACATCAAATGAAAATCCTGCAAGTAAAAGACAATGCATCAGGATGTATATGCAATTCATAGATTTACCAGTCAACTCTTGCGTTATTAAATAAAAGATTGAGGCATTTGCAGTATAGTCAGAGGCATTTTCAAAAGAAAAGAAAAAAATACAAGAGCTTATGAAGCTTCATGTCAAGAACTAAAAATGTCTTCTACCTTCATCTTCAAACTTATCCCAATCTTCATCCCAAACAGATGATATCTCTGGAATTCCAGGTTGCCAGCCTAAAATTGATAAATACAAACATAAAAGGCCGTAAGTCTACAAGGGGCATCCAAGTACAACAATCAAAATATTGAGAAACAATTAGAAAAGTTTCCTAAAGGACAGTTGGCCTTCCAGTATGATCCTAATCATCCAAAGATGATCCTAGTCACCCAAAGATTTGAGATTGAGTCCTGCTTCCAACAGGCTTGAGAAATTTTGCGTATTTGAGAGGGCTACCCCCATGCATAGCCCATTCGTTTTGCAGCACCCTCTTTCCCCACAAACTGCCCTTCCCCCCACCCCCCCAACAATATATATACATATATATATATATCAGCCCCCAAAACACTATGAAAAACAAATACATGAGCGCACAAACGTGTGAGAGAGAAATTTTCCTTGAAAAGCTATCGAAGTAGTAGATCGGACAGATTGATTATAATGTGTAGAGAAAGCTCCAACTTCAACATAATAATTTACTTCACCATTTGTATAGGAAAAGTGGACTAATTTCTAGGTTACATTCAACCAGTCAAATCATACTGGAAATAGATCTGCATTTCCAAAGCATATTTTCATTTTGGAACAGCCACTCTCCTCAATAAAAAATAAAAGAATTGGATAGGAACAACTGAAAAGAGAAGAAGCAGCAAATATAATAACAGGGACCAAGACTATTTTAATGGCAAACCACAACATATGCAATTCAGAAAAAATTCAACTGTAGACAACAGTGCAAGAATGAAGCAGTTGCAAATTGCTATTAAGCTCCTAGCAAAAGTGAAACACCAGAAAATGAAGCAGGAAAAAAAAAAAAAAAAAGAAAGGAAAAAGTGCTACCTCGAAGCTTAATATTGTTGTCGGAAAAACAAGAAATTAATAATCAGAAAGCATAGACAGGTAATGCAGGTACCAGTGGGGAGTTCAATTACAGCAGTTGATTTAATGTCTATCCCATGTTTCTTGCTACGTTCGGTAAAAGCTCTTGTCAACTCCTCAAGATCTGATTGTATACGATCAGCACGAACCTATACATGCAAAGAATGCATTACAGTTGGACAAATTCATGTAAGATATCCATAATCCATCACAGCTAAGTGGTTAAATTTACCTGAAGAATACCATCTGCACTGCCACCTTGCTCCATCTTAGTGATTGCCTGCTGCAACTCCATTTTCCTCTCCTAGAGATACATTGAATAGAATCCAAATGCTTATTAAAATTCTTAGGGGAAATATCACATACAAAATTTTATAAGAATAGGCATATCATTACCAACGGACCAGGGCAATCAAGAAACAAGCACCCATAAATACGGCCAAACAAAACAAGGATTTTGACATAGACAAGAAAGATTAATAGTGTAAAAAACAATGCATGAGAAGAATAGTTACAATAGCCCAACTTTTCAAGCAATACGAGAGGAGTCAGCCAAGATGGTACCATGTTATGCATCAAAGGCCAATTGGTCAATGAAAACAGCAGTAAGAAGCAATTAGGATCAGGTTGAAAAAACTACAAGAGCAAGGCTATAAGTTGGTGTAAGAATAAAGTATGAGCATGATGGTCAATCATTTATCAACTAAAATGTTCCAATTATCCTGCACAGTTCAAGCATTTTAAAAGCCACGGATGATAAAAGATGTACTACCTGAATTTCACGAAATGCTGCCTCTTCAATAGTTAATTTAGAGGCTGTTTCTGCAACTTGCTTGTACTTCTCTTCATATTTCTTACCAAGTAACTCAGCCTGAAATACAATATTGAGAATATACCTTTTAGATTAGAAAGGAAAAAAAAAACACTTGCACAAAAAAGAAAGCAAATCTCAACAACTAAGAGAACACAAATCAATGAATCAAATGAAGATCATAAAATACCTCGCGTTTATCTGCTATGGCCCTTTCCGTGATCTCATTAAGACGGTTTTCACATCTACTCTTGTATAAAACCTAGGTGTAAAAAAAAATCACAAATAAATAAATAAATAAAATGATCTAAGAAATAGGTATAACAAACTTCAAGTCCAGGTAAAATGTATAGCAATACAATTTCAAAATCAAAGACTTGTTAAATATTTTTGACCCTTGAGGTCGATAAGGAGAACTACTCACAAGGTCTTGCATTTTTGACCGGTAGAACTCAATCTTCTCTTTAGAATCTAGATAAACCTTGTCCTTGTCTTCAACCTTCAATAACAAAATAATAATAATGGATTCAGTTGACAACACTTGACATCCATGAAAAAAACTACGAGAATATTTTCTCATTTTCTCAAGGCCATAAATGAAGCTGGAAGACAAAACCAAGTTAATCAAGCTTGGATCGTGATTGGATTGATTAGAAGCTAGTTTCATATTATTCATGAGACAACCACCTCAGTTTATCTTTTAAAATAAGTTGTTCATTTATTGACTTTGGCTTGAACTCAGCTCGATAAGTTACTGAGCATCCGAAGACGAATTATAAAATCAGACTACTAGAGCTTCAATCAAGATTTGGAACCTCACTTGGGCCATAAATGAACGAAGCTTCAAATTCAATATTCGATTGGGGACTAGTTAAATCTCCAAGCAGAGAGAGATATTGAAGAGTCCCAGCTATGATGATTGAACTAAACAACATTCTAACAGTTTCTCCCTCTCTCCGCCAAAAAATGTCACCCTTCATCGAAGTTGATTATGATAATCAAACTCAAAACTAAACATCTGAACACAAACCTCACTTCAACATTCGGCCAAATGACTACTGGGTTCCTTGACCATAGCAAAGTGACACTTGAAGACTTAGGGTAACCTAATTTAAAAGAATTATTCCATCACTTTCTCAAGAAATTTCCCTAATTAAAGAGTAAGATTGTATCAGATGATACATGGTTCTGATCACTCTACAACCTTATTGCTGGTAAAGGATTAATTTCAGTCGGATACATTATGGACTGAAATATTAATTATCTCCCACATCTGAGCACTTAAAAAAAATTCAGATTTAGATACATATATATATTGTATGTACAAAAAGAAAACCTCGTCTCTGTCATAAAACAAAATAATAATAACACGAAAGATGATAGATAAAGAATAGGACCCCTAGGGAACCATTATGAAACATCATCATCATGGACCCCATGTTACGTAACTGAAGATAACTTGAAACAAGTTCAGCAGAGGCTCTTGAAGAACCAATGTAAACCATCCATGTCAAATTCAAGACAACATCAACGAAAGCTTCACAATGTTAGCAGAACGGACCCGGAGAATTGGGCCCTAATTTTAAGAATATTTTTTCTTTTTAACAAGCAATAATTTTAAGTTATATTAGACAATCCATTAATTCTGGCCAGCAACATTCTACTATGTCAACTAACTTCTAGACAGACTTATGGCTTCTCCATTCTAACTATGATTCAATTAATCAAGGACCGTTTAGAAATTTGATTTTCTTTTGTCAAGAAATGGAGAATCCTTGTCCTTTCTTTTGTATGGTGAAACCAAAAAACCATTCAGGTTAAGAAAGTTCCATGTAGAAATTAAGACAAATTGATTTTCAAATACAAAAAATTCTATAAAGAGTGGAGCAGACAGGAAAAGTAGTACCTTTTTTTCTGTTTCTGCTGACTCCTTCGTATCCACTGTATTCTGTTCCCCATTACTGAGTTGGTTCCCATGGGAACTTTCCATCAAATGCATTCTAGCCTTCTGCTGATCAAAGTGTATTGTTCCATCAGCCTGAGGAAACATTCCAGGCACTGGAGGTCTCATGCCAGCTGCAGATGCCACTGGTCGGGCACCAGGCATTCCTTGCTGGGGCCTGAAACCTAAACATAATGATGAAGTTGATTAATTTTTAAAAGGAAAGTGGTGAAGAGTGGAATCCTTAAAATTAAATTTAAACCAATACCAGCAGTGGGTCCACGAGCGACATTTCCATAGGAAGCATTGGGCTGACCTGTCAGAGACAAAAGAGTCTCATCAAGCAAAATATTACTTGGAAGTGTTGGCGGAAGAGGACGGCCTTCCCTGAATCGCTCCATCAGATAGAGAGCAACGCAAAACTCCCTCAAAGAAAGCATGCTATCATTATCTTGATCAGATAAATCCCAAACCTGCTTTAAGACCTCTGGCAAAGGCCAACATGATAATAATGAGTATAATGTAATTAGATTCCATGAAACTTTAATAAAAGGATATTAGGAGGAAAATGAAAAGCATAAAATATATCAACGACATATTATCTTAGTAGTGCAACTTGGTAACTCCCTACCATGAAATTTTGGATGTCACTCTTGCAAGTTTATGAAATTCGGAAATTTTGACTAAAGCTCCACATGTAGGAGAAATTAGTTTCGAGAAAAGATTCCGAAATAAGTATTTTTGTCTAAGGAAACAATTATCTCAATGCATATAATAACATGATGGTTGGGGAGATTACTGTATCTCTTCAATTAGCTCCATCAACAATAGAAAAAATATCATTTTATATGTGAATGTGTATTGTTTTCTCAGGAAATTGAACAGGTAAATATTATCATTTTATATGTGAATATATGTGAATGTTATAGTTTTGGAAACCTTGAACATGTGAACTTCTATGCTATGCGTCAAGAGTTAGGAGACAAGACAAATGATCTTTTGAACCTAATGTGCAAATGTGTGTTCTAAAATCTTAATCAAGGTACTTAATGGCTTTAAACTAATGTATTGATGATTTTCATGAATTGTGTAACAACTTAACCGGGATTACTGATAATTAAATAAGATTAATTAGACCTAAGTGAGTTAATTATGCTAATTGAGATTAGAAACTTAACTTTGATTAATTAGAACTAAACTTCAGCAATTAAACTAATGAAAGGATTAGGAAAAGAGATCAAGCTCACACTCCTCCCTAGGTGTGAGAACACCTACTTTGGAGGGATAAGACTTCTTAGGTGAGAGACAAGTGTCTCTCTATTTTTATAAAGAGAAAAATGAGCTTTATGAGAGAAAATCTGCTGGAGCAAAATAGAGAGGAAAGAGAGAAGACAGAAAGAAGAAGGAAGGAAAGAAGGAGACCTAGTTCTTGAAGTTGACTTAGATATCACTTTGAGGTTGGTTTAAAGGTAAGATTCCTACTCATAATTCATACTATTCTTTCTCATAATTAGTAGAACTTATGTTGGAAATGAATTTGAAAGAAAGAATGAAGAAAATCAGATTAAGGAAAAAATTGGTAGGAATTCATGCTTTTGGAAGAAAATTCTAAAGTTTTGTACAAGGAGTTTTGAATTCAGAAGTTTTATATGATGATTCTGGAGGATTTTGTATTGAGAAATTTAGTTCGAAGGAGAAGCAAGTTGTCACATCTGCAGATTCCACACGTACAGCACAAAGCCACTACACGTGTGGCCCAATCCAAATTTCAAGGCTAAAGTTCTTGATCAATCCACACGTGCAGCTTTGCGCCACTGCACATGCAACACAAGGGAATTTTGGCCAATTTTTCTTCATTTGTTATTTTGACATACTAGGACCAGCTACAAAGCACCGACACTTCAAAACAAGTGCCATATCCATGTCAGACATACGGACACTTTGGGGACACGCGGACACTTCGAGGACACATATCGGACACACCACATAGCGTGTCTCTCAATTAATTTATTTTCAAGAGACACGCCGGGGACACTTCAAGGATATGCCAAGTTTTATTTTTTTTTCTCGTTTTATTAGTGCTTTTGATGAATGTTGAATGTTGAATGTTGAATATTTATTATTTTTTTCTTAGATTTAAGTACTTAATAGATCATCCATAAAAAAAGATATAAACTATAAATGTTAATTTAAAAGTGTTCTTGAAAAATAAAATAAAATTGAAGTTAGTTTTTGTTAAATATTGATTGTTTGTAGATGTAACATATATATATATACATTTTTTTTTTTTTTTATCAACAACAAAGGACTTTATTGATAAATCAAAAAAGTAAACGAGGATAAGACATCCTCTTACAAAAGAAAAGGAAAAAACACAAAACAAAACCCTAACAAGAAACTCATAAGCAAAAGCCTACATATCACACACCGCCAACCAACTCTAACTAACAAAAAAAGTGGAACCCCCTTAAATAGAGGATTCCCCGAAACCCAAAAAGAAGTTAAATGGCAAACACTATCCCACAAACAGTTCATCTCCCCAAAACTTATCTTCAAACATCCTCGCATTTCTTTCCATCCATAGAATCCAAAATGTTGCAGAGACCGCACAAGACCATAGCATTTTGGCTCTCTTCGATCCTCCAAAAGCACGAAAGTCAACTTGGAGCACATACGCACTCCCTTTTGGGGCTACCCACATAACATTCCCTAACAAAAACAATTTGTGCCATAAATTCAAAGCAATTGGGTAATGCAGAAATAAATGATCCACGGATTCCTCATTCTTACAACACATAATGCACCTGAGGATTTAGAAAGCGATTAGGTCTCTGTTTTTGCAATGTATCAATTGTCAAAATGCCTCTATGAACCAAGGCCCGCATAAACACCTTCACCTCAAGAGGAACACAAGCCTTCCAAATTTTTTTGCAAAAAGAAATTGAGGAACATGAGGAGTATCGATGAGTTTATCAAAAAAAGACTTACAAGAAAATATCCCAGATGAATGAAGAGCCCAAACCCTCTTGTCCTCCAAAAGAGGAGCCAAAGACAAATTATCGATTCTGGACAACAAAGACGCAAACTGTGAAGCCTCCCTATCATTCAGATTTCTAGAAAAATCAAATTTCAAAAAATTGGAGCCAAAAGTGAACAGGCCATGGAAGCAATAGAAGAGTTATGAGATTGAGTCACTCTATAGAGATGTAGAAAATCAAAAGCAAAAGAAGATTGACTCATCCAAACATCCTCCCAAAAACGAACAAGTTCCCCATTGCCCACCCTTATAGAAAAATGACGAGATCAACATGTATAGATATGAAAAATTGATTTCCAAGGAACACGACAATTAATTGGGTTGCAATATTGATCTAGATAGCAAATAAAAATATATGAAAACATGTTTTATTGTCGTATCCCCACCATGTTCGTGTCTCCCTTTTTTTTAAATTGCTGTGTCCTGTGTCCATATCTATGTCCGTGTCTGCATCTGTATCCATGTCCATGCTTCTTAGGGGACGAATTCTATAACCCTTAGAACTTGGTTTGAGACTTAGAAAAAGCTCTGATTAATATTATAAAATTGGTATTAAAGAGAAATGAATTGAACAAAGAGCCACACCTAAATTAATTTCAAACAACTTAGGCCTCGTTTGGCAACCTTCTATTTTAGTCAAAAAGTCAAAAAGTTACTAAATTAGCCAAAAAGCCAACAACTCATACCAAAAAGTTAAAGATTCTCTTTTCTCTCTACTTTTTGCACATCTTTTCGTAAAAAGCCAGAAAGTCATCCCAAACATACTAGTTTTTTTTAGCTCATATTTTAACCAAATAGCCAAAAAGTTACTAAATTAGCCTGTTCCCAAACGAGGCCTTAGGATTTGTGCGAGTTAGAATAGTGCTTCATTGACCATTGCTTCTTTTGTTTGTGTGGGTTCATAATCTAGTAGATAGTTCCTTTAGTAAGAGCCATTGGTAAGTACTATTATTTCAAGCTATGTTCAGACTCTTAATTTGGAACTCAAATTGTATTATGCTTCAAATTACATTGGAATATTTTGATATGAATGAATATCCTATGCTATGTATGAAATGTGTAAAGATGGCATCCTCGGATTACGTCCTAGCTACTAGGGGACAGTTATGTGCAAATAGAGCACTAGATTGAGATTTCTATTGCCACATGTGGGTGGGTTTGTCTAATCGATACTCGAGCCAATTATTATATCATATCGTTCTAATGGATGTGTATTATCATAATTCAGACATGCAAACCTATAGCTGAGTTATGATTGGAATTGATTAAAGCTTCTATTATGATATACTATTGTTCTGAAAAGTATTAATATACATTCATCTTACCACTTTGCCTATGGCTCACCCCTCTCCCATTATGTATGTATGTGATGAAGAGCAAGCTTGGGAAGACTATGTTTTGTTGGGCTTTGAACATATGTAATACAATTTGAAAGTCATGCTTTGAAAGAGTTTTAGAGGTTTTGTAAAGATTCAGTTTTTGAAAGAGAATTGGTTCTTTTGTAATGTTTTGTACTATATTGCCATGTACTCTCTTGAGATGTTTTGAGGAATATAAATGGAGAAGTTAAATGCTTCATCTCATATAACTATGCACTTGGTCTAAATGGTATATAAACTAATAATTGGAATACTTCCACTAAATTTACCCCAATTGCCACAAGCGTATTTATTATGGCAAATGCTAACAAGTGTCCCATATGCATTGTTTAATGTTGGGATTAGTACAAAAAGTGTTCTGGAAATGGAGAAAAAGATAAAAAGTGTTTAAAAATGAGTGTAAGTGTTATTGGATTCTACATTTATTGTCTTTTTCATGTGCCTCTAGGGTACTTGTTAGCAAGACTCATTTATTATTTGGTTCAATGGTAAAACATTGGCCTAATAACCTTGAGGTTATGGATTCAAATCTCAGGACCACCACTTTATACACTATGCCAAAGGTTAGGTGTGTACCCAATCTTTTCCCTCCCAAATACACATTAATGTATACTAATTGGGTGTAGTTTTTAATTAGGCCTTTAGTAGTTAAGGACTACTAGCCGATCACAACACTATTCCAGTTGGGGTAAGATAGGGTTGTGACATAGACAATTTTCGCTCCTATGCACGCCTTCATCATGAATCACACACCAACGCTTTAGTCACATATGTTAGCTCCAGCCCACCAATTTTCTTCCTCCAACTCTGAACCTGCTCCAATAGCCACAACTCTCTGAAAATGCCTTGGTTGGTGACAATTCAAACCAATAGGGACCACAAAGCTCTACGACCTCATCTCAATCTCCCCTTTGACTCCCCAAAACATACCATCAAACACAGGTAAATTCTCATCCAAACATCCTCCCAAGATCTATATTCCATGCATCTTGTAGGTTGAAAAACTTCTCAAGAAGTAACCAATTAAAGATAGAAGAAACTTCATTTTCAATATATTTTGGTTCCTAACATTTCAAAATTTTCCCAATTTGCCAAAATAGCCGTCGTCCATTCAAAATTGGACGAAGAATACCACGTTAACAATCCCGCAGATGCCTTCTGCAATAATAACACAGTATTGAGTAATTACAAATCATCCCCTTAAGTTTCAACATTTTCCTACTTCAGCCCTTAAAGTTTTTTTCTCACTTTGAGTAAATTACACTTTGTCCCCTTAAGTTTCCCAAAATTGGAGATGTTCTAATAACCCTGTAGCATAATAACACATTATTGAGTAAATTACACTTTGCCCCCTTAAGTTTCAACATTTCCTACTTCGGCGCTTGGATTTTTTTCCCCACTTTGGTCCCTATTGATACTAATTTTTCCCGATTTGTTCCAATAGCTAACGTTTGTCCAAAATTGGACAATAGACAGTCACGTTGCCCTTTATTCAAACCCCACACTCCACCGTCCCGTCCCTACCCAAAACTATTGAAATGGCAACCAAATTTTGAGAGACAGATGTTCGATGGTTTCGATTTGAAGGGGCTGCAGTGGTGAATGATTAATGGTGGTTTGGAGGTGTAGCAATGAGGAGATGGAGTAGGTCAGTGGATGGTGTTGTTGAGTTGTTGGTGATGGCAGTGGAGGGGAAGAGTACTATTGGGGATGGGGCTTGGCAGTTAGAGGACCAACGTGGCATTTTCGATCCAATTTTGGACAGACATTGGATGTTGGAGCAAATTTGGGAAAAATTACAAACTCAGACCAAAAAAAAATAGAGGGCCAAAATGGAAAAATACTGAAACTTAAGGAAGCAAAGTGTAATTTGTCCAATAATGTGTTATTATGCCACATGGTTGCTAGCATGGCATTTTTGGAAGGACACTGGAAAAAATTTGAAATGTTAGAGGCCAAAGTGAGAAACACTGAAACTTAAAGGGGCAAAGTATTATTTACCCCACCAAACATTGTTGTAAATCAGTCCATCACCACTCTACAACGGCCCCGTTTGGTAGAGCTGTAGAAAAGTGATTATAAATTATAACTTAACAGATTATGCCTTATAGCTGTGAACATAAGCAGTGAACCTGTTTGGTGTAGTTGTGGGATTATGGATTTAAGCAGCAGAGTAGTATTTGGTTAATAAGCTATAAAATAACTTTTTACTGTGTAATTGTCCATTTTGCCCTTATATGACATAAAAATGATTATTTTGTCATTTTTTCAGTTTTAATTTTAAAAAAATTATTTCATTAATAAAAGTTAATATAATTAGCATCAATTAATACTAAAATTAATAATAGTATCAATCAGTTTAATTTTTTTCATTTTTTCATTATGAATGAATTAGGTATTAATGGCTTAATTACCATCAATTAATAATAAAATTAATAATAGTATCAATTAGTTTAATGTTTTTCATTTTTTCATTATGAATGAATTAGGTGTCAATTAATGGCTTAATTACCATCAATTAATAATAGTATCAATTAGTATAATGTTTTTTATTTTTTCATTATGAATGAATTAGGTGTCAATTAATGGCTTAATTACCATCAATTAATACTAAAATTAATAATAGTATCAATTAGTATAATTTTTTTCATTTTTTCATTATGAATGAATTAGGTGTCAATTAATGGCTTAATTACAATCAATTAAAGTAGGAAAGTAAAGAGATTAGGAAAGAGGAGACAAACAAATTTATAGTGGTTCGGCTTCAACCAAGCCTACATCCACTCCTCAAGCTTCACTTGAGATTTTCTACTATCTTCTAGCTTCAATATTAATAATCAACAATTGTTATTTTTTTCATTAATAATTATTCTTTTTTAATTTATTATTCTTTTTCATTACAATTAAATTGTAAAATAAATTGTGTAATTTATTTAATGGATATAAATTGCACAATTTATTTCAATATTAATTGAAATATTTTTTTATTGATATTTCATTTTTTCATTTGACAAATCCTTTCATTTTTTTTTTCAATTTTTATCATTTTTTTTAGTGATATTTCATTTTTTCAAAAAAAAATTCATTACAAAACCCTAGCTTTATGCCGCTGACCCCCCGTCGTCTCCTCCATCCGTACGTCGCTGGCCCCCCTTCTCCTCCGTTTCAGACCGGCGACTAGCTGGTGCTGTAAAACCCTAGCTTTGCAAAACCATTATATCCTTCTCCTCTTCATCCCGATCGCGAAGCTCTCGTTTGCGAAACCCTCGTTTGCGAAACCCTAGCCGCCGGTCTGAAGCAGCGTTCATGTGACGGCGTTGATGCGCGAGCCGACGATACAGGTGCGGGAGGCGGCAGAGAGCGAGCGAGCAGCGTTGATTTCTAGTTTCGGATCGCGATCTAAAGAGAGAGGAAGAGGGAGAGAGAGAGAAAGAGAGCTCTTGTCGGAAATCGTGTGTGTGTGTGTGTGTGTGTGAGAGAGAGAGAGAGAGAGCTCTGGCTGGAAATCACCCTCGCCGGGAATCGCCCTCGCCAGAAATCGCCTCTGTCTTGCCGGAAATCGCCTCTATATTTCTCTCACAAGTGAACAGTGCTTAGACAAAGGCTTACATAGTGGGGTTTTTGTTAATAGTTGAAATATCTGAGGCGCATTTAAGTCATTATACATCTTAAGGATCAGCTGCGCGCATAATCAGTTTGGAAAAGCACCTCTTAGGCAACTAAACAGATTATGGGTGAAATGGCTTAAGTTAAGCCATAATTCATCCCTCATAATTTTTATTAAACACTCCAATATAACTTATTTTAAGCTATAAGTTGATTTAAGCTGCAAATAAGTTCTACCAAACAGCCCCAATATGACCAAGACACTTCTTGTTCTTGCTTTTGCCAAACCTTCCTTACACCACACTCGATCTCTTCGGCCGCCTCTCCTCAACTACAACTTGCAAGACGCTTTCCTTCTTCACCCCATCTATACCGATTTGACAACCCCAAATATTTGATTTTAGTGCGGAGAAATGACCGCTGCATCACCAACCCATTCCAACTTGTAACCTCATAGTGTCACCAATCATCAGAGGTTCCCACCCCCATCCACCATAGACGCCAAAGTAACCAAGTCATCTCCATCAGTCACTAGGACAAACATTTAGAGCCTAGTTGGACTAACACTTTGACATCTCCGTGCTGAATGTCTCTCACCTTCTTCATACCATCTCACCACCACCTTTTTTTATTGTTTATAGCTATGTTGAACATTCAGCTATTGGAGACTCCAATGAAACCAAGATTTGTATCCTATTACAATGGGTTTATGAAAGAAACTAACTCTTTAGATATGACACCAGAAGAAATTTGATTAGTCAAACAGGTTAAAGATAATTTTAATGGCCTTGGAGATTTTCACTAATGGTGTAAAATATCAAATAGAGCCAAAGTCCTCAATACCATATATTTCATTATGCTGGAATACAGTATTTTTGTTTTCTTTGCCCTTTAAATGCTCCATGCCTGCCTACCACCAGGTTCTTTGTCAATCAAAAATCAATTAACACTAAACTGTCAAAAACATGCTATGAAACTTCATGCTACATTGCCAATCACAGTAGCACTGTAGAGGAAAGAGAAAGAAAATGAAAATGAAAGAAAGTGAAGCATAAGGCTCATAACAAGTGAAAGAGTTTCTACCTCTTGGAAGTCTCCAACTCAAGAATAGGTTGCGTGCCTGCTCACCAGTGATTTTCCCATCTCTATCGGTATCAACTTCCACAAACACTTTTGTATACTTTTGAATACCAGCTGGCGTCATTTTTGGCCATGAAAGCAGGGACTGGTTGGGAGTAGAATTTCCTGGCCCAACTGAAATTCCAGATGATGCAAATGAGGAAGTATTTTGAGTTGAAACCTGTTGGTTTGGTTTCACCAGTGTCTGGGTGTGCTGCTGCTGGTTTCCTGTAGGCTGCCGCGTTAAAGTTTGCAATGAATCAAATGCAAATGGATCCGGTTTAGATGAAGACGGGGGCCCAGTAGACACTGGAACAATGGCGGATGAGGCCTGTGCGCTACTCACATAATATGTTGGCGAATCATGCTTTGATAAAGATTGGGCAGCAGAAAACACATCACCTCCAAATACAGGGTCAGAAGCAAACCCATTTCCAGAGCCAACTGTTGCTTTAGAATCCTTAGCTGAGGCTGACAAAAAAGGATCTTGTGGTTTAGCTGCAGTAGAGGACATTGACTGACTAACACCTTGGTTAGGGACATGAGATGCACCAGTTGAAACTCCAGTCATCCTTCCACCAAGCCAATTGTTTGCAGTGACTGAGTTTGGAAGAGCAGGACCTGCTACACTACCTCCTCTTGAGAAATCAGGACTTGCAACACCCTGTGGTGGACGGAGAGCATTACTAGAAGATTGGGGAAGAGGCGGCCTCAATGACTGATTACCTTGAGATGGGAAATACTGCTGGTTCATAGTTGCATTAGGAGGTACTTGTCCTCTGAAACCAAGGGTTTGAGATGCTGTTGGTGCAACTGGACCCATCTGTGCCGGACCCATCTGCGGTGCAACTGGACCCATCTGTGGTGTAGGTGCAGCAGCTATTGAATTTAAATGAGGTGCTGGGGTAGCCGCAAGATTAATTTGTGGAGCAGGGATTTTAGCTGAAGCAGGACCATGTAATGCCGCCTTGACGATATCAGGAGTTAACTCTCGCTTACTCTGTGCTACAGTTACAAGTTTAAGAGCATTATAAAATTCAGCCTTGCCAAGGAAACCAGTACGGGCCTGATCAGCATGCATCCATATCTGCAATCAAATACAACAATTTGAGAAAAAAAAAAAAGCTTGGTCACAAGCAGCAAATTAGAAGAAGCTATGACCGTATTAGGGGAAAAAATCCCTATTGACGATATCAGGAGTTAACTCTCGCTTACTCTGTGCTACAGTTACAAGTTTAAGAGCATTATAAAATTCAGCCTTGCCAAGGAAACCAGTACGGGCCTGATCAGCATGCATCCATATCTGCAATCAAATACAACAATTTGAGAAAAAAAAAAAACTTGGTCACAAGCAGCAAATTAGAAGAAGCTATAACCGTATTAGGGGAAAAAATCCCTAAAATTCTGCAGAAACATGATGTTGGTGCATAATCTATGCACATAGTTATTTTAATATTAATATTTTCCATTAGTTATTTTAATATTAATATTTTCCATATGGAAATTCCATCAGTTGTTTTCATATGGAAATTCCATCAGTTGTCCAGTGACTATAACTCCATCACTTTGGTAGATTTGCATTATAGCCACAACGCTCATCGAAGTTCACTTGCATGGGTTAGGTACGTTCATTGTATAATGAAAGAAGGTTCACAAGCTATATGTGTTGGTTAAGTTCTTTGTACTCTTCGCTGTGCATTAACATTGCATTCGTTTTGTATTCATAGCCTCACATGTTTACATCCTGCCATAAAGTGTAATAATACATTGTAGTGTAAATGTTAGCATTAGCATTGCATTCATTTTGTATTCATAGCCTCACACATTTACATCCTGCCATAGACTGTAATAATACATTGTAGTGTAATGGAAAGGTTGAACCACTCTCTGTTACAATGTTGCCGCTTCATTGGATTGAAGTTACATTCTGCCTCTTTATGTATATTCGAAGGGAGCCATGGCAGTGTGATCAATGGAGTCTTTCCTCTATATTTCTGTATTGTGTTTTTATACAAAGAGTTTTCCAAGCAACTAGCTTTGGACTCATCCACTTATGCAATGTTGGTCTGAGTCACACGACTAATAGTTGAGTTGTAGTATCATGGGGGAGACAGGCCAATACAAGCAGTTCTGTGACATCAGTTATGAAGGTTTTACCACCCATGAAGAGGTTGAACCTACTTAAAAGGAGCAAGATTACCATGCCTCAATCTGCATTATGTGTATCCAATTATTTGGAGATATTGTGTACCACGATTACTTTAGCGATAGTGGATGTAGGCAGAGTTTGCCAAACCATATTAAATTTGTGTCTTTTCATGGTGATGGTTCTTGGCACATATTTATTTTTGGCTCCATTTTATTTATTTTTGGTTATTACACTGACACGTGATAATTAAAATCATGTACTAAGAGTAAAAACAGTACAAAAAGCTTTCTTACATCCAAGTGAAGTGGCACAAACATCACAGGTTCAAAGCAAAGCAAAAAATATCTAGGCCACAAATAATTGAGATCTCTATGTCCAAAGGCTAGAAATTGTAACAAAAAACACACATTCAAACAAATTACATTCCATGGCCGCATAATTATATATTTTTCTCTGCTTTTCATAATCATATCCACAGTTTGTTAAAATCATCTTCACAGCCCAAAATACCAAGAAGGCCAAAGGCAACTCTTTCTGTAATATCACTCAAGAAGAGAGACAAATTTCTCGGTTCTCTCATCTATATCCAATTGGCAATACCAATTCGCAAAGATGCACGCAAAGCATTGCCAATGATGATTTAATGTTAACTGGAAGTCAAATTAAACAAATGATAAGAATGATTGGGTTACAAAATGCGAATCGTGATATTCAAAAGACAATGTTTCTTCCAAACTAACAAGATGGGTTGGATCTGCCATTGGGTTCCTAATTTACACAAAAATACAGTTCTTGAGCTGATCACAATAACCCATCCTGCAAATCTCCTTAATAATAGAAAGAACAACAAAAATATACAAAACTGTGATATATCAATCAAGTACACCAATTAAAAAATACAAATCAAATTGAGATAGAGAAAGAGAGGGGCAACCTGAGCAAGTACTTGTTTTGGTAAGTTGGATCCTTGAAAGAAAGCAACAGCTTCAGCTCCACTGATCCTTCCATCGCGGTCCAAATCGGCTCTCTGGAAATACAATTCAAATTGATCCATGTAAAACCCCTCCTACTTGAAATTACAGAGACCAATTTCACAGTAATAATCACAGATCAATACATTACATCAAACCCCAAACAACTTTACAAACAAAATTGAGTAAAATAGAAAGTAATCATGTAGTTTAAGAGATGATGAGATTCAAAAGAAATCGAATTCGATGGGAGATAGATGGATAGATAGATCGAGCAGAAGCGACGAGACAAGACTAGGGATTGAGATTTGGAAGAAAAATTGGAAGATTTTATTACTAGTACAAAACACGAAATAGAAAGAGAAAGAGGTTTTCTTGCAAATAAATCAGAGATGTGTCCGATCGAAAAGAAAAGAATGGAGACTGTAAAACAGGAATTGAGGAATTGGGTTCTCATTTTATGCTAAATTGCTGGATGATCCCCTGGTTTCCAGTCAATTACTGAAAGATATCGCTGCCGCCTATCGTTTGACAATTGACAGCTTACGTTATTAACGGGTCAGGTGCGTGTAGTAGTCCTTAAAGCCTCCCCGAGCACAACGTTATTTTATTTGGTTTTTTGTTTTTTCACAAAAACACATATAGAAAATAGAGAAGTAATGTAATAATTTATTATGATTTTTTAACCTTTTTTTTTTTTTTTTTTTTTGGGTATATTACAAACCTCTCTTTTAAATAGTGAGTTTTAAAAGTTAATATTTGACGGTTTAATAAGTTTAGGGTTTATTACGTTTTCTATGTTTGAATTATCGTTAAATTATTTATTTAGCTTCTGAATTATCGATTGAGTCTATTAAGTCTTTAAAGTATATGAATCAAAGTCAGTATAATCCCTAAGGTACCGATTAAATTTATTAAGTCGTCATTTGGCAAAGAAAAAATTTACTAGTTTGTTTTTTAGAGTTGAGATTTTTTTAGTTTAAGACTAAAAAGTCCGTTTGGTAAAAAAAATTTACGTTTTTGATTTTTGTAAAGAAAAAGTGAAAAGATTATGGTTTAAACGTGATATTTTGTCTTATTCACTTATTTAGTATATTTTGTCTTTTGTATTTTTTTAGTCCCAAAAGCCTTAACCAAGCGAAGCCTAAGTCCATAAAATATTTTAGTTTATGAAAGAATTGCAAAATTAAAATATATGCCCATAAGTATTATAAATTAGTAAAATATCCTAACTAATTAAAATTTTATTACAAAAAAATCTAAAATTTTTATTTCGTCTTTAAAAAAAATTTTATTTCGTTGTGTGTTTAAATTAGTATTAGAGTCAGATCTATCAACATTGCCAATAAAATTATATAAATATTAGATATACTAAAAAAGTAGAAATAGATAGTTTAAATAGTAATATTTTACTACAAATAATAATAATAATAATAATAAATTATATATTAATTAAATTATAAACAAAAAAACTTAGTGAAAAACTTAAAAACAATCTATTAGAAATTATTTCTAACATATAATACTAGATAAAGGGAAACACACATTAGTCATTTTAGAATATAAGTAAAAAAAATACTATAGATAATTACATTTATCCTTATAAAGGAAATTCACCATAAGAGCTCACGCCTACTTTTTAAAGGCAGAATAAAAATTAAAGATTTTTTAAAGTAAAATTTTAACTAGTTAGGTTCTTTTATTAATTAACAATACAGATTTATTTTTGTAACTTTTTCAAGGACTAAGGCCTCGTTTGGGAACAGGCTAATTTAGTAACTTTTTGGCTATTTGGCTAAAAAGGTAGGTAAAAAAAACTTGTATGTTTGGGATGACTTTTTGGCTAATTACGAAAAGATGTGCAAAAAGTAAAGAGAAAAGAGAATCTTTGACTTTTTGATATGGGTTGTTGGCTTTTTGGCTAATTTAGTAACTTTTTGGCTAATTGGCTAAAATAGCCTCTTGCCAAACGAGGCCTAAATAGGTTTGATTTAAATATTTTAGGGACTTAATAAATTCAATTGATAATTTAAAAATTAAATAGACTTTAATCTATATATTTTAGAAATTTAATAAATTCAATGGATAGATTAAGCCTCCGTTTGGGAAGTGGGTTGGCTTTTTGGCTTTTTGACTTTTTTGGCTATTTTAGCCTGGGCTTAAAAGTTTGGTTTGGGAAGGATTTTTTGGCTTTTTTGAGTTTTTTTGTGAGAAAAGAATGTAATGATTATGGGTTGGATGTGATGTTTTGTTTGTTATGGCTAAAATAGTCTATTTTATTTTTTGTGGCTAAAATAGTCAAAAAAAGCCTGCAAACCCACAACACAGGCTAAATATTAATTAGACAAATTGGGGAAAGTTCAGAAATATATAGTGTAACAAACTCATAAGTTTATTTCAAAAGATTTTTTAACTAGCACTATTAAGTTTGAGTAATTATAAGACAAATAAGTTCAACTTTAAAACTTAACAAATTTTAAAATATACAAAAGAGGACTTAGCCCGATATACAGATAAGCAGAAAACTTGTTCATATACGAGAAAGAAAACAAAGTCTCATATGTTCACAAAACATGACTATCTAACATTCGGAACCTACTCATGAGGCACAATGGTTGGCTGGCAAAACAAAACTCTCCAGGCAGCAGCTTAGCCCTGGTCACGCGCCTGCGCACTTACATACATAATATAAATAATGAGCGAAAGCCAAATAAATAATAACAGAGTAAAGATGTTAATGAATGATGCTTATATCAGATTCAGAAACAAATTCATATTCATATTCATGCTCAGAGTTAATACAATTCACATGATAGTACGTGGTATATCCATTAGCGTTATCAAATCCGATGACTTATGAAGGGACGGCCGTGAAAGCATTCTGATGACTAATAAAGGGACAGCCATAAGGCATTTTGTGATACCCTAAACGTTTAATTAATACCACATAAATATTTATAGATATATATAATTGTGGTTGTATGTGATAATA